CTCCTAATATCAGAGACTTTCTGTTGGGTCTCGTCATGTGAAATGCTCCACCAAATCTGGTAGAATTCTCCCTGCACAATAGATCCAACCCAAGAAAAAGTATTTAGGAAGGAATCCAGAGCAAGGACACAAACACACAAAGAGGTAAAGTGGACTTTGATTTCTCTCCCCTTCTCCCTAACATCTTACAGCTACAAACACAAAGATGTGGTGATTTAAAAACCTAAGTATGATATAAAAATTCTTATGTGTACATTATATTAATACACATGAGCAATGATAAATATGGACATTTTCTTGCATTTACAAATTGAAAGCATTATCCTATACCAGGAACATCTACTGTACAATATGTGTAAGTTGATAACGTATATAAAAATCAAATCTGTAACAGTCACAGAATAACAGCATTCAACAGCAACTTTTGTTAATACATTTTCTTACTTTTTTGAGAAATTCATGATTCCGGTTAGAATATATAAACTTTTCTATGTAAAATGCTACTGATTTATAAAAAACTATCTTAGTGTGTTGCTGACTTTACCACTTTGATTTCATGTAGGGATAAGTACTTTTTGTCATTTAATAAAATTATTTCATTAAAAAAATGTATCTGCCCAGTCTCTGACACTTCGAGAGGTGGGCTGGCCATCTTTAGTGATTCAAATGCAACCAGTGGAATGTAGCGGAAGGGGCACCTGGTACCTCCATCTTCCACCTTCTTGGGAAGTTTGCTCCTGGAGAAGTCAACCACCAAGTAAGGGGTCCGGTGACCCTGAACCTGCTGCACTGGAGAGGCCGCTTGTAGGGACAGTCCCGCAGAGCTCCCGGCCCGCAGGCAGCATCACAGCAGCCAGGCGGCCGGGCTGTCTGGGAAGGCCATGCCGCTGAGCCTTCAGTGGCCGCTGCCTGAGAGACTCCAAGCAGGAGCTGCCCCGCCCACCCTTTGCTGGTGCACGGAATTATGGCAAAATGCAGAGGTTGTTTTAAACCTCGTTTTGGAGTAGCTTGATACGCAGCAAATACTAAGCTGCGTATCAGGTCATACAACGGCAAGAGTAAAGGGTCCGGGTGAAAGCAGGAGACTGAACGTTCCCTGCTCTGTAGCACAACCCCAGTGACAGCTGTGGAAGAAGTCTGACCAAATTCTGCTAACAGAATTGGTTTTAAATTATATCCTTTGGGTCTTATTTCTTCCTATGAAATGAAAGAATTATATGGATCTCGAACGTGTATTTTACACATCTAGTATTCTTATTCAACATACAGGAACAGCTCTCCCAAAAAAGGATAAACTGTAAAAATAATTACTTGCTTTGCAAAGTAATTTAATAAAACAACTTTTAACATCGGCTTCCTTCAAACAGTCAGCTTTTCCACTTCATTTGCTATATGACATGATTTTCAAAGTTTCAATTTAAAAACAACTTGTAGGAAAGCCAATACTAGACACAGCAGAAAAATAAAGACACAAATGAAGAAAAAAAAGTGGCAGAAATTATTCCACACAGGAAGCACCAGCCCAGGTGTCTAGCACATGCAGGTTTTATTTTTCTCATTTTCCTAACGTGGAGCCTGAGGCCTAGAGGTGAAGTGCCACTCTACCTGGGCATTGGCGAAGCCCCACATTAAACTGTGGTGTCACGGCACAGCTGGCTCTCCTCACCGTGGGACCAGGCGGTGCTGGCGCTCTTGCCAACAAGTCCCAGTTAAGGCACAGATGGGACCCGTCTGCCCTGAGGGGAATTGTCACTTGTTCCTGCAGACACAACCAACACACAAGCCAGCCGCCATCTACTTTTCACAGTTTATTTTGAGTACTGTGTAAAGATTCTCTCTCTTTTATCTCATCAAGGGAGCCATAGATGGCAACGTTACCTCTGACCTCAATTCCCTCAGCCATCTGTATCCGAGTGCTTAATGACTTCCAGGGAACACACTCTCCTGGGCTCCGCAGTGACTCCAGTACTTGGCTGCGGTCCTCCGAGCACCATGATCTTCCCACCTCCCTCAATCCGCAAGGAGCTCCCTCCTAATTCTAACCCAGCTAGATAAAAAAGCAGTACGGCTGCTTCTGGGCTTTCCAAGTCCCAAGATCATGGATCCTCCTGCCACAAACACCTTTGCCTCTGCTCCTTCCCCCTGGCCTGGACCCAGGGTGGCTACTCAAATGTGGCTCTCCCCAGTGCAACGGACTCTGGGTCACTCCCAGCAGATCTCCACGTTGCAAAGCCCCGAGACCCTCAGTGACCCTCTCTCAGGGGCTGACAGTTTGTTCTCTCGTTTTCATGTACTAGTACTCTGCTCCAAACTCACAAAAACTTGTTTTCATTGAAGACTTATAGTAATTTGTGTCCTTTTATCATTATTTTCAAAAGTCCTCTGAGCTCATGGAGGAGGAGGGCTATGATTTAGTCATTTTTGTGTCGCATGGCAGAATGAAGGCGGCCATGAAGCATGTATTTCTGAAAGCACATTATAACCCAGAAGTTATTTCCATTTCATTTGGGGGCATATTAACACATATGTGCTAGTGGGCAGGAACACAATGAAGTTCACAACTATGCTGTGTTTTACTAAAATTTAA